ACTCGCTTAAAAAACGAATTTCAAGCTTAATCATACAACAAAAAAAGCAGACAAGTCTGGAATTATTTTTTAACAATGAATAACTGTAGTTCTGAAAGTGTCCATTTTATGCAAAGGATATAATATAGGAATTTTTTTTTTTTTAAGAAATGTTTTAGCTAGTTAAATTTGAAATTTTACAGGTAAGCGATTAGAATGATATATACGTTTTATACTATACGGTATTTGGTTTTTAGTAACTTATAGCTTTGTGTCTATTCTAGAATACTTTATATATCAAAATTTTATTCGCAGTTCTGTTTTATGTAATGGGTATTATTACAGTAGATTACTACTGTTTCGCTAGGCCAATCAATTTATGAATTCAAATCATGATTTTAAACGTTTTATCCAATTTTTTTTTTTAAAAAAAAAAATAACTTAGCGACTAGTTCACGACTAATCTTATTCCGATTAATGTACTACAATGAAGGTTTATTGAGAAACTAAACTTTACTTTAAACAGTAGCTCTTTTCTTTGCCTACAAATTACTTTTAGAAGTGGGCTTGAACTTCTTCCAAAACTTCTACCAGATCATTTAATAGTATTTCTTGGTCTTGATTTTGTACTAGTACTATATCCAAAACTACTTTGTGAAATGGCTGCTCTAGCAGGCTGTTTAGTATTTTCTTTTGATCATTTACAATTTGTTCTGCTCTTCTTTGAATATATGCTTGTATTTCTTTTTTCCTCTCCTGCTCACTGCTTGTTATTAACTTGGCTTCGATTGCTTTCCACCATATAAGTGCATCTGTCTGCTATATGCCATCTTCTAATATCTTGATGTCTTTGATGTTGCTATCTGCTAATGAGTTTATTCGCTTGATTCTTCTATTCCAATCTGTGATTTTTTCTTGTAGCCTGATACTGTTTGCTACTCTAGTTTCTTTAATTATCTTGCCTAGCAAGTATATTGCTTTTAAAAATCTGCTTTTTTTTCCTTTGTGATTCACTTTTCTTTCAAAATCTACTATCTTGTTTGGTAGATTGTGCTGATCTGCTAGTAAAATTGCACTCTCTATAGTCTATCATAGTTCATCAAGATCGCTTCTAACTTTTCTAATATCAATAGGTCTGTAGGTAATATTTCTTGTTTAAAAACTTTTAGCTATTTGATGTTTAGCCTACTCCACAAACTTGTTCAATATCTGTTCCAATTTTTTTCTGTAGCTAAGTCAAGCTTTCACACTCTTTGCTTTATACTTGATGTGTTTTTGGTTGGGTGGTTACTTAAATGGGATGACAAATACCATTTAATTTTTGCAAATACTAGATTATAATCACTATCTGTAATCACTACCATGTCCTCAATATTAGCCTTTTGTGTTATTTTCACTATGCTTTGGGATATCCAAATTTGATTAATTTTTGTTGTGACTGTATTATTGCTCCATGTAAACTTCTTTTTATAAGAGTTGAGCAATCTGTATATATCCACAAAATTATATTCTTTAAGCCATTTATGCAATGCTAGTTTCTTAGAACTCTTTGTTTGTGATGACTTGTCTATTACTGGATCTACTATATGATTAAAGTCTCCTATTATGACTATAAGATCCTTATCTTGTGTTTTACTTATTTTTTTTCGAACTAATGTATTTATCTTTTTTATTATCTCCATATCATTTGGAGGGATATAAACCAGAATTACTACTAACTTGTAGACTTTAAAATAAAAGTACACTATTAACATATATTCGTTTGGCTTCTCTATTCTGCCAATATGCTTTTATACATTCTCTTGAACTAGGAGGCCGACACCAAAGCCTTTCTTTTTAGATTTTAAACCGCTCGACCATATTTCTTTGAAATTAATATTGTTATTTACCACAAACCCTGCTTCTGCTCTTGCAGGTTTGTCTCTATAACCCCAATTATGTTGTATTCTTTTTCTACTGCCCATTTTAACAAAAGCTTTATTCTATAATTATACACCTTAAGCCTGTTAATATTGTGTATTGCTATATTGATCTGCTTAGCCAGTTCTGAAATTCTTGATGGTACTAGCTATGTCTGAACCTGGCTACTATTTGGGGTACCTATAATTGATGTAATGCCTGTAGTATCTCTCAGAAGCGCATGGGGGCTTTGCCCCCATTCTGATATTCTTCAAGTGATTCTAGTCTTTTAATAATTTCAACAGGTCAACTTGATTTGCTTTATTTTTACTACTTCCTTCCAAAAATTTTTTTTGTTCTTGGTCAGTACTTGGTCTTTTGCCTTTTCGTTGCATATTAATAGGCTGAATATTCTTTTCTATAAACTTGAGTTTTGGTTTGTTCATACTTCCTTCATATGGCTTTCCCATACTTCTAGGTTGAATATCTAAGTTTTCTTTGCCTGGAACTAGATTTTTCTCGATTAATCTTGGCCTTAGATCTTCATGCTTATTGATGTCCTGTTTTAAGGTTTCTTTAGCTTTTTTGCTTTCTGGATTAGTCTGCCTTATTGCAATTATTCACACAGTTATCGAAAGATATAAATAGGCAGAGAGTAAAGAGTTTAAGTATGAGTCTATTTTAGATAAGGAGAAAACCCTGCTAGGGAATATGGTTACTGCAAATAATACTCAAGAAGAATCTGATAGAAATAGCTCTATTCCAATAGACATTGTCCCTATTAAGCCAATTACTCTATTAAGTGATTATGGAAAAAATATACTAAACAATGTCAAAAGCACTGCTCGTAAAAGATATTACACTAAATATGAAGAAACAACCACTTCAACTAACAATGAGCTGGAAAGCAGTCAAAGCATACTAGTACAAAATGAAGTCGGCATATTAGATTATAAGTTAGTCAAACCTCTCTTAACAGACAAACACAATAGTTCAAAAAGCAAAAATAGTAAAAAAGTTAAAAAACACGAAGATATATTTAACTCAGTATAGGTACCCGAGGGAGAATTTATTTTAAAAGAGTACATAAAGAAATCTTCTTATTTCTTTATACTCTGGGATCTGTCAAGAGAATCAAGCATAGTAGAAATTAAAAAATTTTTTAAATATTTTAGTATAGCATCTATTTTAGCCTAGCAATATAACTTCACAAGCAAGGTGACTTTTATTAAAATTATGATATTTGCTAAGAAGTAAGAAACCTCATTAAAAGAAAATTGGTCAGTACATCTTGACCAAGGCAAGATGTATAGAGTTACACTAGGCAAATTTGATATTAAACTTCTAAAAGAGCGAAACAAATTCAAAACTATTATATATAATGTATTATCAATAGCATATGATAGCTTTTTACTCCATCAGCTAAAAAAATACAAAGTACAAGCAGTATATACACTAAGTAACCGAAATGATAACTAAAGCAGAAGAGCACAATTGTATTTTAAGTCTGAGCAGGACCTTTTACAAGCTCAGAAGTCGACACTATACTATTTT